GCAACTTGACTTAAATCAGCAAATGATTTAAATTGCACAATGAAAGCTTGGCTATATATTGCCAGACAGAGACGCTTTGGATATATTTTTTTCTTTCATCCCAGAATATTTTTATAAAAAAACTTGCTCAAGAATTGAAATCGGATCAAATTGATCACATTTACCACCTTGTTAAAGTCATTAGGTAAAGTTGGTCTCATTGATTTCTCTCTGCTGTGACTCTAGGAGGTGGGAATGCCGCTGGGAGCCACAAAGGCAGCCGTCAGTCTCTCTCTCTCTCTCCCCCTTGCCCTCTGACCATCAGTCCAAATAGCAACGGAGTGGAAAGACCCGATAATGTCTTGGTACTGAGATAATGATAATTGTGACCATGAATCCCACTGAGAGGGTCTTGGGACCCAGATCTATAGCTCTCACTCATTCTAGAAAGCCACACTTCTGCGTGAAAAATCAACACAAAGGACAGATTTCTGTCTTGGATTTGCTCCTCTCTCTCCAAGTGACTTGGGTGAACCACCTCATCTCTCTGAGACTCGCTTTCTTTCTCCTTGGGAAAAAAAGTGGAATCTACACAATCTGTGGTTGGAGAGTATTCAAGGGAAGGAGCAAAATATATTCCAGAAATCAATCCCATTCTTTCATTCATTAAGTTTCATTCATCTTCCCTGGACGTTTGTAGGAGGACTTAGAGACAACTATATCAATTTCTGCTGGTGTGTAGGTGCTACAAATCAATGGACACGTCCTTCTCCAGTGACAATTGAAAAGGAAATGGGCACAGGAGAATTTTGGCCCAGACAAAGCTTCTTTATTCTCCATGCCCCAGACTTAGGGAGCTGGCGAGAGAATGTCTCAAGGGAAGCTGCTCGCCTCACAGGGGCCTCACCTCAACAGATGGCAGGGCCCTGTCCCATGCTTATCATGACATGTATGGTGGGGGGAGGCTTCCTGGCCACACCCTATGTGGAATCACACCCTGACATGCATCCTGCATCTCATCAGCATGTTAGATCTCCACATGCCCAGGAATCACTATCTCTGAGTGTGATTTCTAGTATTAAAACGAGGGGAATGGTTACCAGTAGTTGTTTTGGCACAAGATGGTTTGGCCGGGTTTCTTTTGTCCAGCCTCGCCCTCTCTGCAGAACATTCTGCCTCCATTATCTTTTCAGATAAGCTGCCCAAGGGAAAACAGTTTGATTCCTTTCTTCTAAATTAATTCATACAAGACATGGCAGACTGTGACTGCAGTGAACATCTTCTCCTCAATGCTCTCTCTTAACTAGTAAACTTTGGTCAAAAGTCTCCCCTTGTATAACCCCACGTCCCCTCGCCCCAGTTGGCTATATGGGATGGTGTTTTGCTGCAGAGGTGGAAGGGCTCGAGAGATAGCACAGGCATTAAGGCACTTGCTTGAGAGATAGCATAGGCATTAAGGCACTTGCCTTGTACATCACTGACCCCGGCTCGATCTCCTGTATGTGGTTTCCTAAGTACTATATTGAGTGATCCTTGAACACAGAACCACAAGCAAGCCCTGAGTCCTGCCAGATATAGTCCTCAAATTCACACACACACACACACACACACACACACACACACACACACACACCATATAATAAAATAAATTGATATGATGTCTGGGATTGCACCATCTTAGATGAAGTTGGTCCCTCTGGGGTTCATCGTCTCCCCCCACCTTGGGTCACCTCTCCCCCCTCTCCTCCTTCTCTTCCTTATTTTCTCTAGTTCAGGGTTCCTGGATCTGGAGAATGACTTTAGTTGTGATCAAATGTTTCCAGCAGAAAATTACTCACATACGTTTATCTTGACACTCCCAAGAGAAATAGTTCACTTGGCCTTTGTAATCATGGTAGCCTGTGGGCACCTTAGAATGCCCCAGGGTGCCCGGGTTATTTCACATTCCCTGATCTGGCACTGATCCAGGGCGAAAATCTCAAGGCAGGTGCTTTAGATGTTCATCCATTCAACTGCAGCCAATTTGAGGCAGAAATGAAACTTGAGGGTGAAATAAAAACCATCGCCTCACCCTGCCGGCTACATACTGGTCCTCCTGGGGTTGGGGGGCATGAGACTCGGTGTTGTGTCGGTCACTGGCCTGGCGAGCTCCTTATAAAGACTCCACTACCTGTCTGTCTCGTCCGTTATCCCACAACCACACTTGAGAAACAGCCAGGAGGGGAGGTCGTGAAAACCGAGTGTTCATAATGAAATTGGGGATCGATAAAATAATAAAAAACAAAAACCTAAAGCGAAGATTGGTATTGATTGGGCATCTCAGAGAACATTGTTAGCAAGAGATCAGGGCATGCTTCCTCTATGTAAAATGGTGGTGGGTGTGGGGCGGGGGGGGGTGGGGGGAGGAGGATCCTCTCCTGAGCAAACCTGGAAAAGAAACCTGGAATAGGAATGAGGCGTGTGTGTGTGTGTGTGTGTGTGTGTGTGTGTGTGTGTGTGTGTGTGTGTGTGATGGGTGGGAGGGGGGAGCAGCAAGGGAAAAGTGCAGAAAAGCCAGCCACATCTGGTTTTATACCCAGCAATAGCTCTGTGAGCTGGAGCAAGTATCAACCTCCACTCCACCTTCTTTCCTGCATTAGTTCAAATTGGCAGAAGACAATTTGATTATCTGTATTGTTGTAAATGAGATTACACACACCTGATTGGGCACAGGGGCAGAATTGTGGCTTTGAGCACTCATATCACTAGGATACCACCCCTCTCCTTGCTATCACGGGAATTGTGGGGCAGGTGCAGTGACCCCAAAAGCGTGACTTCCCCCCCTTGAAAGGGGGAGATTTGAATGCCACAGCCTGGACCCAGCTGAACAATGTGGCAATGTGAGGCCAAAGTTCGACACCCTCTCCTCCATCTCACAGGTGACACAGGGAAAATGGAGTCATTGTGGTGGAACCATGTCTGTTGGGAGTGGAACCTGGGGCCAGGCCTCCTGGGCACAGCCTGTTGGACATCCCAGCTACCTGCCTTCTGTGCTGGTCATGTGGACTCACACTCCCAGCCCCTTGGCACTCTGAATCATGTTCCCAGTCATCTCCACAAGCTCCCCCAATGCAGGAAGAGGACGTGCCTCTGACTTTCCCCACTTCCCAAGACCTTCCGGCAGGGCTTCCTTGCATTTGGGGGGTTTGAAAAATAAATATCCATTTATTAAGGGAAATGGAGGTATTTTCTGCTCTCACAATTTGAATGCAGTGAAAAAAAGGTACAATGTACATTAACCTGGCTCAGGGGGAGACGTGCATTAACTTTACAAAATGTTGGGCTCTTTAGGAAGTTAGTTTTGCAGGCTCGGCAGGGGGATTCTGGAACTCACTCTCCCCCACTGCTTCCCAGGGAAAATTGCAACTCTAAGTGGCGTTCCTCTCCCAACGGGGGAGTGGGGGCCGAGAAGATGGAAGTGGGGGAGAAGAATGGGGAAGGAGGCAACCGTGATGTGGGTGCTGAGGTCAAGAATCAGAAGGGAGGAGTGGAGATGAGGCAGCTGTGTGTATGTGTGTGTGTGTGTGTCTCTGTGTGTGTGTGTGTGTGTGTGTGTGTGTGTGTGTGTGATCAGATTTAGATTTAGTCAGCAGGCAGGTCATGGAGATCAATCCCCAGAAAGAAAAGAAAAATGATTCTCACTCCAAAGGGCTTTGCATCTTCGGGGGTGGTGGGGTGGGAGTGGGAGACTTGGATATATATTTTTTTTATTTTAGTATTTGGGCCACACCCAGTGAAGCTCAGGGCTTATTCCTGGCTCTGTGCTCAGGAATTACTCCTGGCTTGGGGGACCGTATGGGATGCTGGGGATCAAACCTGTATCTGTCACATGCCAGGCAAGTGTCGTACCTTCTGTGCCCTGCTCTGGCCCAAGGTCTGGATTTCTAATAGCATGCAGGACACTCCCAACTTGCCACTTCAAGGATCGCACTTGCAAGTATCTATGAGGAAGCTCTGAGGACAAAGACATACAAAAGCTTGGGGTTTCTGCCTTCTCTCTCTTTTTTCTTTCTTATTTTTCCCAACTTCCTCTGACTTCCCTTCCTGTCTCTCACCCTCCCTGTGCTATCTGATGGCATCTGTGCCACAATATCACACCCCAAATTCCATCCCCCCTCCCCAAGCCTGCTTCATCCCTCCTTCCAGCTTTCCCATCAGTGAGTTCTCTTCTCACTCGAGGAATTCTTTCCCTCTGAATTCCAAGCCCCCATTCCAATCCACCCGAGGTCCGCCCTCTTTCTTCCACCCACCTTGGTTTCCCTCTCTGCCCTCTGGAATTCAACCTCCCTGCAGTTCCATTTTCCCTCAAGGCAACTTCTCTCCTAGCTTCCTTTCCTCAGAGTCCATTCTCAATAAGCAAACCCTCTTCTCGCAGTCAGCAGGCCGTAACCCTCTCCTCCTCCTCCTCCTAGGGTCCATCCTGCCCTTTGACTTCGATCCCACCTTTGAGTTCTCTCCCGTTTTCCACCTTCTCACTGCAACTTTTGGATATTGGATAAAGTTCTTCCTCTCCACGGGGCCTAAGGCCTAAACTCCCTAAAGAGCCCAACATTTTATAAAGTTAATGCATGTCTCCCCCTGAGCCAGGTTAATGTACATTGTACCTCTTTTCGCTGCATTCATTCAAATTGTGAGAGCAGAAAATACCTCCTTTCCCCTTAATAAATGGATATTTATTTCTCAATCCCCCAAATGCAAGGGCCAGCAGCTGGGGCCTGGGGATAATCCTGCACCTCACGCCCTTTCCTCTGCTGGACACATGTGTCAGGAATGTTCCATAGGCAAACCACTTCCATTCTTCCATGCACCAAATGAACACTCTGGGCTTTATCTCTGGAGGCCTCTTCCGGCCTGGACATGTTTTTCCTGCACGGAGGAGATAGTTTGGCACTTTGGAATTTGCACATGTGGCTCCTAGAAGTTTGGGTCTTGCATCTGGTCACTGCCGGGCTCCCCACTCACCGTCTTTCTTCTTCCGGCAGGGGAGATCTGTGCCTTCAAGATCCACGGTCAGGAGCTGCCCTTTGAGGCCGTGGTGCTCAATAAGACCTCGGGAGAGGGCCGGCTGCGCGCCCGGAGCCCCATCGACTGTGAGCTCCAGAAGGAGTACACATTCATCATCCAGGCCTACGACTGTGGCACCGGGCCCCGCGAGACAGCCTGGAAGAAGTCGCACAAGTGAGTGGTCCCACCCAGAGTCGAGGGCCCCCCACCCCTGGGTTCCTCCAAATCCAGCCCTACAGATGTGTACCCAAGTCCCAGACCCAGTACTTGGCTGCTTAGTCCCCAAAGGCACAACCAGAAGAAATCCCTGAGCACACAGCCAGGAGTAAGCCCTGAGCACTGCTGGGGGCAGCCCCCAAATGAACCCAAATGAAAGAGTTGGTTACATTCTTACAGTGTGGAGGAGGGATGGGACTGAGGAAGGGAGGAATTGGAGAGGGCAGATGATCATAGAGGAAATGCAACTGAAAATTGTATGACTAGGGGCAGGGGACAAAGCTGGGGGAAGGCCCTGAGTTTGATCCCCCAGGATTGCATGTTGTTACTTCCCCAGGCACCGAACACCTGGGGTGTGATGCAGTGACAACCCCTTCCCCCAGTACCATAATTACAAGCCTGAGTTCCAAGTAGAGTCAGAGGTTGGGAAGAGAGTCGAGTGGATTCATCTACCAGAAGTAGGGTGAAGGCAGGGAAAGGGGTCCCCAGGATGAGGGAGGGCAGAGTGCTCAGATGACAGACTGGTTAACTGCTGACTGGGGCTTCCTCTGATACCTTAGCCCTGGGACCACCTCCCAGGGGTGCACATCCCCGCCCCGCAGTGGAAGGTGAGGGGGACTGTGAAATTCTGCTCACTTCATCTGTGAAACTCTGCTTCCCTTCATCCCTTCCTTCCCTCCTGTACCCCAGAGCTGTGGTCCACATCCAGGTGAAGGACGTCAATGAGTTCGCCCCCACCTTCAAAGAGCCGGCCTACAAGGCCGTGGTGACCGAGGGCAAGATCTACGACAGCATCCTGCAGGTGGAGGCCGTGGACGAGGACTGCTCCCCGCAGTACAGCCAGATCTGCAACTATGAAATCGTCACCACTGACGTGCCATTTGCCATCGACAGAAATGGTGAGTGTCCTGAAAGGACCTTGCAGAGGGTGAGGCAAGGGCACAGCTCCACCTCTCGGGGAAACCCAGGGGGTGGGGGCAAGGAATAGCTCCACCCCTGCAACATCACAGGGGGCGGGTCAAGGAGTAGCCTCACTCGCACAGCATCACGGGGAGGGGGGCTAGGAATAGCCCCACCCATACAGCATCACAGGGGGTAGGGCGAGGAGTAGCCCCACCCCTACAGCACAGAGGGTGGGGCAAGGAATAACTCCACCCCTATCGCATCACAGGGGCGGAGCAAGGGATAGCCCCACCGCTACAGCATCACAGAGGGCAGGGCAAGGTGTAGCCCCACCCCTACAGCACACTCTGCCAGCCAAGTGGGAACACTATTGTACTCGATGGGACCCAGCGTCCCCTGCCTTCCAGGACCCAGGCTCTGTTACCCTGACTCAGGTCTACCCTAGAGAGAGTGTCTGACGTGACAGCAACCTGGCTAGGCCTTGATTCCCCCCACCCAGGACTGCTCAGATACCTCCTTGATGAATACAGCATGGAGAACGAACAGTGTCCCCACATCTGGATATAGCAGAGACTAGCTTCCTGCTTGTCACCCAGGGTGCTGTCCTTGTGCATACCTGGGTCCCTTTCATCATTGATAGGTGATAAAACACTGCCTCCCCCATCCCCACAGCCTGCTTTCTGACTTCCAAGGGACCCTACCTGAGAAGGTGGAGAGAATTCGAACACTTTCTATACACTAGAGAGCCACTGGGAATAATTAAAGGTCTTGCTAATGCCCTTTGAGAACTTCCATCCTAGTGAGAATGAAGAATGAAGGAACCCTTCCCCACCCTCCAGTCCCAAACTGAGTGGAATTGAAATGAGTCCTATCAAGTCTTCGGATACTTCCCCTCTAACCATTCTCAACAGCTCAATACTCCAGCCAACCAACTCAGCCCACTTTAACTGCAAGTTTCATTTGATATTAATCAAATGAAAATGACTAACTGAGAATACTGTTTAATTAGCACCACTGGTGCTTGGGTATTATGTATAGGATCCCATCTGTTTCACATAAGACCCAGGCACTGCCCCAAGAAGCACCACTTACTGGTCTATAGTGCATCTACTCTGCAAACATTTAGTAAGTGCCAGGGCTGGTAGGCTCCTCCTCATCACACATACATCAAGCACACATTCTACACACAGACACATAGATCAAACATGCATGCATATACAATGCACATAACACATCAAACACAAATACATGTGTTGACACACATCAGATGCACACATGTACAGATTCACACATCAAAAACATGCCTGTGTACACAGAATACATATAACACATTAAATGCATGTGTGCACAAGTTAGATACACATGCACATATACAAATTCACACACACCAAACATGCATGCATACACACAATGCACGTGTGTATCAAACACAAATTCACATGCACAAACACAAAGAGATGCACGCACACACACAATCACACTCAACAGATGGACACACTATTCGGGGCACACATCAGTCCCCCCCACCCCCGTGTGCGCACACATGAACTCTCCTTTCCGTGAAATAGCTACTAAGCATTTCTCTCTTCTGGATTTCTGTGCCCCCATGATCCGCTGTGCGTTCCATCTGCCTGAATGGAACTTAGGAAGTGATGAGTCCTTGAGGAAGAGCAAGAGTAGATAGGGAGGGATCTGCGTGGGGTGGCCACACACCCCTGGCTTCCCGCCTCGGTTCTGGAGAGCCTCAGCCCAAGGAGAGATGAGATGCAAATTCGCTCATTGCAGGGTAAACTGCCCCAGTCATGGAGATAATTACTCACCTTGATGAGCCATTTTGCTAACATATGCCAATTTATTTCCCTCGCTGTCTCATTAAAAGTGAGTAATAGTGCTTTGCCTGGCCCCCGCCTCCGACACAGGTTTACTACCACAGATAAAGAGGAGAGTGGGCACTCCTGGGGAGTGTGGGTCCCTGGCAGCGAGGATCACAAGAGCTGTTCATTCTCCGAATAAGGCAGGCAAGCCCGAGGGCCAGGCACGCAAGAGGCTCCCTTCTAATGAGCTTCCCAGTTGGCCCCTATCCATCACTTCCGCCTGCGACCTTCCCGGCTCCTTGAATAAATTCTTTGCATTGGAGTTAGAGAAAGTGCTGCTGAGTTTGTGGCCCACTCAGGGAGTTCCGCTGGCTTTGGGTTGAAGTTCCTGGCCCTGCCAACCTCTTCGGACTCCAGGTTTGGTGGGGCTCCGGGACATCAGGGCAGTGGAGAGGATAGAAGACATCAGGTGAAATCAGCCGTCTGGTCTGAACTCAACACCAGCCTCTGCCAGCCAGTACTGCTCACTTCTGGTCAGTGAGGCCATGGGGGTGAGGTCACTGCCACACTGAGCGCTGGTGTCAGGGCAGTGACCACAGGATAGTAGGCGCGGCACAGAGGACACTGCCAGTCAGTGGTGCCCTGCTTGCGATTAGCTCGCTACCTGGGTGACTATCTCGTGTCTCCTTCCTGGGTGACTGTCCTCCAGCCCCTGCAGTGAATTTCCAGGCTGAAGCTCCAAAGAGGTAACTCTGACTTGGTACACACCCATGGTGGAAAGTTTGGAAAACTTTAAAACGTATAGAAAAAGGAAAGAGCTCATCCATCCCCTCAGCAATGACAAGCTATTGCCATAGAAGTCATTCTTCTGGAACTCCTGAAGCAAAAGTCAAGCCAAACATTCCCCACTTTATTTTTAAATCTTCACTTTTTGCTTAACATTATGATGATGTGTATTTTCCCTCTAAAATGCTTCATGGTCGTCCTGTTAGTTCAAAGCTTTCACACACACTTATACTCTGATCTTTTCTCACTCCCGGGCATGTAGTTCTGTCTGTTTTATTTATTTTTTTATCTTTAAAAAATTGGGAGTGGGGGTGATTGGAGACGTACCCAGAGGTTCTCATGGGTGGCTCCAACTCTGTGCTCTGGGGGTTTGCTCCTCCAGTTCTTAGGGGACCAGATGGTACCGAGATGAATATGGGCCACAAAATCTGGCCTAAGAGCTCTCTTGCCAGCTCCTTTTTACATTTTAATATAGTAATAGGCATTTAAAAATGCATTAGGGGGTCAAATAGAGTACAAGAATTGAGGGAATTGCTTTGCACACAGCTTACCCTGGTTCAATCCCCAGCACCCTCTATGGTCTCCTGAGCATCACCAGGAATGATCCCTGAGCACAGAGCCAGGAATAGGCCCTAAGCTCTGCTGGGTGTGATCTAAACTCTGCTTCGCCCTCCACTAAAAATATGTTTGAATGTATTTGCATCTATTTTGGTGAATTTTAGCAAATTGAATATCGTCAATTTTTAGATGTGGACTCACTGGCCCGAGAGATATGAGCAGTTTCAGAGCTTCTCTGTTCCACGCGCAAGTCAGAAGCAAGCCACAGGGTGTTGGTCAGTGCAGCTGCCCAGTCTGTTCTCCAAAGCACCCCCACGCCTCACCCTCTATGAAGCTTTAGCCAGCACCTTCGCTGACATGCAAGGCTGGAGTGGATTGATGCCAAAGAGTTTGCATCCCAGGTTCATTTGGGTCTGAGAAATAGCCTTGGCAACTCTTATCTGAGTCAGCTGGGGATTTGGGTCAGCTCAGAAGGTTCTAGTAGAGAAATCATTGCAATGGTATGGGTGGAGGTAGGGAATACAATTAGAATAGAAACAATAGGATTTTTTTTTCTGAACTTCCAAAAAAATGCTGAAAAGCATGTCTTACCTAAATATGGCTCTGTCCAACAGGACGATGGGCTGTAATATAATTCTCTGCTTTAGAGTACGATGTTTCCTGTTCTGAGCTCGAGAGCCATTCCCAGTGGTGTGTGACTGTGGCAGAGATAGAGAATTTGTTTCTTGGACATTTTCATTAAGCCTCATTCCAGAAAGGAAGCTGCAGTGGGTGGGAGCAAGGACTGCTGACTTGTCTTTCTTCCCTACCAATCAATAGTGTTAAATCTACTCAGTAACCCATAGATTGTAAGCCTAAGCCCTTCTCTCAAAGGGGGACATCTTCCAAGAGATATTTAACTTGGAAACAAGAACAAGAGAGAATTTTGAGTTCAAAATTCAATTGGATGATGCCAGAACTGATTTCTGGGTCCTGTAGAAGCGCCTGACTGCCCAAAATTGCTCCCCGGGAAGGTAGTGGTCATAGTTCATTGATTCATTGAACCCGCAAGGAATATCCTCAAGCCCACTCCAATCCTTCCAGGCCCAAACTGAGAGTGACACAAGTATTGGGGAGAAACACAAACAACTCACAGGACCAGCCACAAAATCAGAAATCCATCAAAGCCAAGATTATTCAGAGTTTTTGGCCTGGCTTAATTTCAATTCTACTTTGGAATCCATAGCTGCAGGTGCATTTTTAGAAACAGTCTAGAGAAAATAGCAGAATCTATTGTTTCAAGTCTTGGTCCAAGGATATGGGCCACTTCCCACTCCTGCCTCCCCACGCCACCCTGCTCCCTGCCTCCCCACCCACCCCATTCATGCACATTTGGCTTGCTCCTGAGTCTCTTTGTCCTCAGAGGTGATTGGGGATCAACTCTTCCAGTCTGTCAAACAAGATGTGATGTTTCTAACCATTTGAGCTTTCTTGATGTAGTCCCTGTTCTCCCAATCTGCCTGAACCATTTTTCATCCATTGAGATGGAAGGAATCTCAACAGCTTCTGTAAAATTAAGAAATATCCCTGACTCAGCTATTTCAGATTTTTTTTCTTATTGATTGGTTGGTTGGTTGGTTTCCCAATGTTCCACTCACTTGATTGCATTTTTGGTAAAAGAGGATGCTAACCTTGGAGTTCTAGTGTGCCACCAGCAAAAAAAAAAAAATTAATATTAGACATTCAAAAAGCAAAAGTGAAATGCACTTCTGCACAGGAAGATGGTTATCTGTTGGGATCAAAAATTTAAAAGTTGTTAAGTGCCCTTGGGAACGTCCTTCATTCCTTGGGGCCCAAAAACTTATTTCTGAAAAAAAAAAACTCCACATTTTGCTCATTTATGAGCACATATTTAATTCTGAATCATCATAGCATTCCCCGGGGGGCGGTAGGGAGGGGGTAGTAAACCCACACCAATGGCTCCGAAGAATTATCTGGTCTCACTCTAAGAAAAAGGAGATGTCTTTGCCACCAGGCAAGGAATCTTAACTGTGTATAGTTTCAGGATGAAGGTCACACATTTCCTTATTGATTTTTCTTCCTATTTGCTAGCAAAATAATGTGAGAAGAGGCAATGAGGGCATCCTTGGCCCTGAGCCCTGAGGTTCAAACAATTATGTTAAGATTTTTCTGAGTTTCACCTTTTCCACAGAGATTGCCCCACAGTTGGGCCCTCTGCTCCCTACATCCGGGTTACAGTACTGTCCAATGCTCCCCTGCCCCAGGGGGAAAACTTTCTGATGTTGTTATTTCCAGGTCCAACCCCTTGCATTCTGGGAGTAAGACCTATAGCCTCGTCCTTGGCTCAGGTGGCTCCTTGCCAGAGTTCCTGGATCTCTGGCGCCAAAGGAGGTCCCCTTTGCAAGCCAAGCCCCTGTCAGCCCTTATTTGTCCAGAGAGCTGGGGGCAAGCAGGGCAGCCACATTCTTGGGGACAGTCAGGGCGGGCCAAGTGCAGAAGGGTCTGGAAGCACCACCACAGTGCAGCTCTGCTGAAATTGTCCTCGACCTGTGTGTGTCCTCAGGCAACATCAGGAACACGGAGAAGCTGAGCTATGACAAGCAGCGACAGTACGAGATCCTGGTGACGGCCTACGACTGTGGGCAGAAACCAGCGGCACAGGACACCCTGGTGCAGGTGGACGTGAAGCCCGTGTGCAAGCCCGGCTGGCAAGGTGGGTCTGCCCCAGTCTGTCCTGATCACTGGGGAGTCCCCGGGCCTGGGTAATGAAAATTCTCATTCCCACATCACTTCTGCACATTGGTGGTGCCGTCACTCAGTCACTAGCAGTGGGGCAGTGGGCTCAGTCCTGCACCTCCAAAGGGCTGCATGCATGATCCCCCTCTTATAGCCGAGACCCCCCTTCCAAGTCACTTCATCTCATAGAAGTGCTCAGTTTGTCTGGGGAGCCCTTACTATAGTGGTGTGACATCCTGGATTCAGTAAGAAGCACCTGGCCTTGCTCCCATGTGCTGGGGAAAACGGCAGTTGGGACGTAGAGGGAACCACTAAATAAATGATGATTGGAGGGATCGCCCAGAATGGGAGATGTGTGCTAAGAGTAGACCAAGGACCAAACACGATGACCTCTTAGTATCTGTATTGCAAATCGTAATGCCCAAAATTAGAGAGTAAGAAGGATTGTATCTGCCACAGAGGCAGGGAGTAGGGTGGGGTGGGGTGGTGGGTGGGACACTGGGAACAATGGTGGTGGAAAATGTGCACTGGTGGAGGGATGGGTGCTCGAGCATTGTTTGACTAAAATGCAGTCATGAAAGTTTTTAACTGTATCTCATGGCGATTCAATATAACATGTTTTAAAAAAATAAAGAAAGAAGGGGAAGTACCCGGCCTCATGCTTCAAGCCTCACAGATGCATCTCCAGTTAGATCTCCACTCAGTACCTGGGGAGCATGGTCCCATTCCTTGTGCGTGCTTGCAGGGGATAGACACAGGTGCTGGGCGCGCGCGCGTGTGTGTGTGTGTGTGTGTGTGTGTGTGTGTGTGTGTTTGGGGTGGGGGGGTGGACACAGATTCAGAATCCGCCCTTACACTAAGAGGTTTCTAAAGCACAGAGTCCAGGAATGGACACGCTGTAGTGGAGCTTGGTACTGGGTGGAGGCTTGGAGGCCATGAAGGCTGAGCCTTTGAGGCTGTTGTGAGGCCTCTGAGCCTTCAGGGACAGACATTTAGAACAGAGGGAAGGCGAAGCAATCAGACTGAGGCCAACTGCATCATGGAGCTCCCGGAGAGTACTGATGGATATTTCCAGTGGTGGAGTAGGGGGAACTGGTGTTACCTTTGTGTCACTGGTGACATGCGTCTGATCCTGTTTTCGCTTGATGTGTGATGCTGCCACGGCTCCTACTTGCTCCTGGTCAGGCAATGCGTGGAGGTTTCTGTTTCATGCCTTTGTTTACTCCCTCCTCTTGGAATGTCTTTGAGCTTCAGGCCCCAGTTCCAGTCCACATCTATCTATTTCTCTGTCTATATTATCCTTCATTCTTAAAATCCCTAGGGAGAGGGAGATGAGCTGTTAATCTTCACATCCCTCTTTGGCAGACTGATGTCAGGCCACCAAAGAGGTTCCTGGTCAGATTGTTAATGGCTGCCCTTGAGCAAGACTTTTGTTCCCACTTCAATTCATTGGGATCTGATGGGTAGGACTCGGGAGACAGGTAGTGACCCTGAGGCAGTACCTGGGGTCACTCCCACATATACAGGATCTTTCAGAGCATCCTTCCCTGGCACAAATTTCTCTCCTTGATTTTTCAACTGAAAAGATAAGTGAGAGGGCAGTCCTCCCCCCAGGCTCCACCACAGGAGAGAGCTGAAGGAACAGTAAGATGAGATGCTCGGGACAGGAAGACTGTTAGGTGTAAAGAACAAGGAAGCATGATCTCTGGGTCAGTGTGTGTAGGATGGAGCTAGATAGAAAGAGGGTCAGAGTAGGAAAGAGCACATCTTGGGCTCAGGGATGCAGAGCTTGGGACAGCTGTGATGTGACAGCCTGAAGGACCCAGGCAGTGTCCCTACTCTTATCTACCACTTTGTTTCTCAGCATAGCAGATGTCCAGCCCCAATAATCAGTGTACAAGGAACAGTCACTAGATGGGTGGATGGATGGATGGGTGGATGGATGGATGGATGGATGGATGGATGGTTAGTGACAGATGGATGGTGGATGAGTAGTGAAGGATGGATAAAAGTTGAATGATAAATGGATGATTGGTGGGTAATTCATGAATGATGAATGAGTGGATGATGGATGCGGGCATGCATGATGGATGGTGGATGGATGCATGGCTGGTGGGTGGATGGATGGTGGATAGATGGATGGATGGTGAAGTATGAATGATGCAGTGGTGGCGAAGAATAGATGATGAAGGTTGGACGGATGATGGATGATTAATGGACGGATAGATAGATATTGAATGGGTGGTGTGTGGATGGATAGATGGTGGGTGGTAGATAGATGGTGGATGGATAGATGATAAAGGATGAATGGATGGGTGCAGGGTGGTGAAGGATAGATGTGAAGGATGGATAGATGGATGAATGAATGGATAGATGTTTGGATAGGTGGATGGTGGGTGAGTGGGTGGATGGATGAATTGTGGATGGATGATGGTGAATATAGATGGTGAAGGATGGGTTGATGGATGAATGGATGAATGGATGGATGATAGCTTGATGACAGATGGATAAACATGGTGGGTTGTGAAAGAATGGATGGATAAAGTATGAATGGATAGATAATGGGTGGATGATGGATGGATGGATGGATGGATGGATGAATGGATAGATGATATGTGTGTGGATGGCTGGTGGGTGGGTGAATGTGGGTAAGTGGGTGGGTGAAGAATGGGTGGATGGATGATACATGAATGAATGGTTGGATGATGGTGGGTGGGTGGATAGATGACAAATGATGGGTGGGTGGATGGATGGATAGTGGGTATATGGATAGATGGTGAATAGGGGAATGAATGGATGGTGATTAGGCAAATGGATGGAGTAATAATGGATGATACTGTTTTAGCTTATAATGACTAACTGCAGTGAATATCTAGATTTTGAAGGGAAATTCTAGGAAGAATATGAAAGCTTTCCGTTGCTCAGTGAAATTTGTTTTATTTCGTTTGGGGGAAGTTTGGAGCCATATTCAGCTGTTCTCAGAGGTTAATCTTGGCTCAGGAGTCACTCTTGGTGGTGCTTGGAGAACCAACCATATGCCATTCTGGAGGTCCCACTGGGTCTGCTGTGTGCAAGGCAAGTGTCTTAACCCCAGTATTAGCACTCCGGCCCTTAGATTTATAATGGGGAGAGCAAACACGTGAAGAATGATTGTCGTGTGTTTTTCCTTGATAGGGAAGGCACCCACACCATTCTGATGACAGTTCTGCAGCTATATTTACATGTCCTTCCTCACCCAGTCAGTCCTCATTTCATTGGTACGGATCTGCAGAGAAAACCATGGTTCTGTGCCAAGTGGTGAGTGTGGGGCCTGGAGGGCTCCTGCCCTCCGCTTCATGGAGCTCCCACAGCTCACCATGGAGGCTCAGGTCCAGCCCTCATCCTGGCCACTCACAGGACAGGCAGTAGGCACTGCTGAATGAATCGAAGTGAACAGTAAGATCCAGGCAGTTCTGCACTGAAGATCACCGAACTTAACACCCACATTCCACAGTGGCAGACAATTCTGGAGGGAACCCTTCTGCTCTTTCCTGAAGGTGCCCTGTGTGCTGGGGGCGGGGATGCAGAGAGAAGGTGCCAGGTACCACCTACATGGCAGCTGTAGAGGGCACAGCTGTCAGATCTGTGCACAAAACCTCCAGCAGAGGGAGCCAGAGAAACATTCAGCCTGGGGTGTTCCAGGTCAGGAACAGGAGCTGGGAAGGCAGGTGAGTCCTGTGGACAGGAAGAAGATGGGATGGAGGTGGGGTCTGCAGCCACCCTGGGGACCCCCGAAGTTTCCTGCCTTGCCACGGTGCAAGGGCTTTTGAGAAGGAAGAGCTCCTTAGACAACCACAAGAGATGGTGGCAGCGGGTTAGAAACTGGGGCAGGGGCACCAGCTAAAAATCATTCCAGAGAGCACTGGAAGCAAAGCACTTGGAGCGATGTAGGAAAGCTACAAACTTAGCCCCAAACCAACTCACAGGCCCAGGCAGCAAAGGAAGTTGTATTTTTAGACAATGATCCCAGGAGCACGGGGATAAGGCTTGGCTGTGTGCGTGACCACCCCTGCCCCGCGGTCACCCTAGTCCCTTATGCAGCTGTCCACCTGCCCAGCGCTCTGACAAGGAGGGAACAAAGGCCAAACCTGGAGGTCAGAGCATGTCACCCTGCCTCCTTCAGAAGTCAGGTCAGTTATTGACTAAGTGCTCAGGAGAGCTGACTTTCCTCTTCAGGGAAGGCACCTGAGAATACCAGGAAAGCATCCCGATTGGCTGGAGAAGCAGATGTGGGTGGGACTCTGATGGGGAGTCCAGTTCTGCAGGCTGACACCCTATGGCGTGGGCAGAAAGACAGGAAAGGACACCTCCTTACTCGTCCTGCGTCTTCTCCCTTCCTGTCCTGCCAGGACGTCCAAGATCTCACCCGCAGAACACACTCCAGTTACCTGCAAGTACCTTTGGTAGCTGGGCTAGAGTGATAGCACAGCAGGTAGGGTATTTGCCTTACACACGGCTAACCCAGGTTTGATTCCCAGCATCCCATATGGTCCCCCCGAGTACCACCAGGAGTAATTCCTGAGTGCAAAGCCAGGAGTAACCCCTGATCCAAAAAGAAAAAAAAAAGACCTTGGTAGCAATAACCATTAAACCAGGAGCCAAGCGAATGTAGCCCTCACACCAAATCTAGCTGTTCTTTAAAAAGAAAAAGAAGGGGAAAAAAAGAATATCCCCCCACTCCCCAAAATGGAGTTTACATCTTTCAGTGGTTCATTGGATCCGAAGAAGGGTGTTTGGTGGCTTGTGTGAGGAGAAGCTCACATTTCAGCAGCCCTGATTCCACCTCTAGGAACGACAGCCCTCCCCTACTGGTGCAGGCTGCTTCTCCACGGCCACAACAGAGCTGAGAGCTTCAACAGAGCTGAGACAGTCCCCTAAGCCTAAATATTTACTCTGGGTCCCTTCACAGGCAAAGTTTGCTGACTCCCGCCCAAAGCT